TCTATAATGGGAATTGTCTATTTACATGAACATGAGAGACTTTTTATTTGACTTCCATTTATGAATATTAAAGTCTATAAATATTGTTATTTGTTGTTAAGTTGTTTTGTGATACATTTTTAAAACTACTAATGTTTTTCAAACTGGTAAATATTTTCAAAGCCCCCCTTCTCTCTGTATTTTTTCAAAGCCCCCCCCCTTTCAGGTTTTGAAAAATTTAAAGGCCCCCCCGTTTCTCCTCAATCCCCCCCTGTACAATAAATAATGAGCGGTCCCTAACGTGGACAATTCTGATTCACAAATATCTTTTCCACATTTCTTTACATATCTTTCTTTGAGAATATGCATTAATAAAGGATTTTTTCCGGGATCCAGAAATGATTTTTCTTTAACGAAATGTAAAATGCATTAAAGAAATAAATTATCAGTTAAAAAATGTGAAATGCAAGTAAATAAATATACTACTGACTCTGTAGTAAGTACAGACACAGGAACCCTAGCTACACTTTTGTATGCCTTTTTTGAAAACGCTGATTTTAATCTAATTCCTTTCACGAATGTAACCAAAGATGTTTTGAAGTAGCATAAAATCGTCATAAAATGATTTTTTTAAAACGGTACGTATAATGAATGAAATTATAAGTTACAAGATGTGCGCAGTAAAAGTGCGCAATGCAAAACTGCGGAATTACTTTAAGAACTCTTTCGCACTGACAAGTTAACGACTTAATTTATGCAGAGCACAAACCCTTCACTAACCAGTGCTAGTTATGAGTTCTATTCATCGACGCCGGAACGATGTGATTTCATGCACTGGGACTGGGTTCATCAGCAAAAAAAACAATAGATAGCAGGATAGCCACTGAGATGATAGGATTTGTGCTCTGGGGCAATGGATTTAGTCAAAATTTGGGTTGGAAAATGGGAATACGACCCCCCCCTTCAGGACCCTCAGTAGGGTTTTTCGGAAAGAACTAATACCATTCTCATTCATATTCCTCGTTCTCGTTCCTCGTTCCAATCCCCAAATTCCGCGTTCCCTATTTTAAAGATAGCCAAACCAAAGTGGATTTGAGTGGATCGTTCAAATATGGCCATCATTAGATAGAGATAGACAGTTTATTAAAAGCAAAACTACATAGCAGCGAACCGGCTCAAATGCGTAATTTGAATATTGCATATGTTGGAAAAGTCAATATTAAACTATGAAATGATTAATATATTAGAATAAAATACTCAAACTAGGAAATAAAAAATGTTAAAATTAGAACTTAAGAATGAAAGTTGAAAGTTAAAATTAGATATTTAAGAGCTTTTTCGCACTGACAAGTTAATGATTTAATTCATGTAGAGCACATACCTTTCACCACCCAGTGCTTGCTATGATTCTATTTTATAGTTTTATTGTCTGTCTTGTAATAATCCCAGCTCTCGCGGCTTTGCAACAACTAGGAAATCATTTGGTTTAGTCACGAGTTGTGGGATGGACACTTTGGTAGTTGGTATCTCGGCTCCCTCAGGCAACTCAATCTTGTAACGATGTAATAATATTGAAGCGAACGAAAACATCATTACCTTTGCCAATGTCTGGCCAGGACATTCTCTACGACCAATGCCAAATGGCATGAAACCGCGTAGTTTGTTCCAGCCGACAAACTTACCGTCCTCATCCAGAAATCTTTCAGGTTTAAATTTCTCCGTTTCTTGCCATTCGCAATTATCTTCATGCACCTTCGAAATATTCAGGCCGACAAATGTTCCTTTGGGAATGTGGTAGCCAGCGATAGTTGTGTCACGAATCGCGTTTGTCCCGAAGAGCGTGGTTATAACTGATACCCTTTCTACTTCACACAAGGTAGCTTGGAGGTATGGCAAGCTTTCTGCGTCTTTCCAGTTCGGAAGACGATCGCGTCCTACTACAGCGTCCAATTCCTCATGTATTTTGCTTTGCACATTGAGATATAAGACGTTGTAGAGAAAAAACCAAGTTAGCCATGCGGAGGTAGTTCCTGATCCCACAGAAACCACATTCACCATCAAGCCTCGAATACCACTATCTTTGGAACCAATGTCTTTTCTAGTCTCTTTGGCCAGTTCTTTTTCGTATGCACTGATAAAGCTATCTGTAAGATCTCGTACGGTGCCTGGAATGTAACTGTCCCGGTGGGCTCGATATTCCGGTGGGAAAATCTTCTCTCTGATCTGTTGTGCTCGCTTTATTTCCCGAGACAATTGCGTTGGTAAGTAACATAGGAATGGAAATAACTGATACATGGTCATAAGTAATGCTCCTCTGCCCATAATCGCGTTAAATTCGTAGATTTCCTGCACAATTGGATCATCCAGTGCCATCTTCTTCGATGTAAGCCATTCCAAAAGTTGCACAACTATGGAGGATTCGAGAAGATTATTAGGTGAAAAAGTTCTCCCTGGTTTATTTTCGATTTCTTTTATCGCGATGTCAACAGCATGACCAGCACGGACCGAGGCTTGCTCTATTCCAGCCCCAAAAATATGCATTGCTGATACGAACACTTTTCTCTCAAAAAGATATGCGAGTGAGTAGTCAGATCCGGCCATATTATGACCCATTATCTCCCCAAATGGATAGAAAAACTCCGGTGATTTGCCCAAAAGAACTTCTTGTCTCCCAGGGGCAAGCCTGGCTTCACGCACTAGGGATGCTGTATTCAAGATGACCGCGTTGCCGCTCGGAAAAGTGACTGTGTAAATGTCTCCATATTTCTCAGCTAGTTTACTAAATGGTCTGACGGGATCTGCAGAGATGATTTGTGGGATGTTTCCAAGGAAGGGATATGGAAACGGTCCGGGAGGCATGTTCTTTCTTTCTATGTAGGTACTAATAAAATACCAGATGAACCAAACGAGAAACAGAGTGACAAAAACCTCGATAATCATCATGTAGCTGTAAGAAACGATTTTGCATTTTTAATATTGTGGAAATCTGGGATAAACTAGCCCGTCAACTTTGCCTTCCCGCCAAGATCCTGTATGAAGGGTTTATGGCAGATGGTTATATTCTTTAAAATCCGTTTCCTTCATTTGCAATGTACAGTCAAATTCACTACTCACTAGTATTCGTGATTGGATGTCAAACATCGTGCCACGACAATGCAACAAAGTAGTATCAACACAAAACGACAGTGATGTTATATTCAAACACCTTGTGTCCCATGCATTGCTCAACAATTTTCGGAATGCATAAGTCTGTCAACCCAACGTGCGTTTTTAAATATATAATGGAGAGCTTTAGATTTTTCCTTCAACGGTAAACTGCAAACCGTGGTTTGCTGTCAGCCGTCTGTAGTTTGCCGTTCAACACATATTTTTGATTTTGTTTTCAATACTTCGTAACTTTTAAAATAGGGACCTTAAGCAAACAGGACGGCAACGCGACGACGACGGCTATTTACACAACGAAATTCCTGATCTTGTACAAAAAAAGAAATTAATTTAAAGCCTCACAGGAGTTAGACACGTTGTGTTAGTGTTTTTTACATCAGCAAATCAGAGATTTTCACGTCTCGTGTACAACGCAAACATGTCAAGACGCGACAAGTGAAACTACAAATTTGCTCAGCAGAAGCGTTTTTAACCATAAAGCCTTTGTTTTAATTTCTTCAAACTGAACTCAATTATCATGCAGTGAATAATACACAACTCCTCTTCTTCACAATAATTTATTTGAAGATGTTTGTTTTGGCTGTCGTCGTAGCGTTGTCGTCGTACATGCTTAAGAGGGCCTCTCAGTAAAATCCACTCACTGGTTTGGGGAAGGAAAAATAGATTTAGCTCATATTTTGCATATGAACTAGACTTTGGTCAATATTAATCGAGCTTCTTTCAGAACGTTTCAACTTTCTGTTTTATAGGAGTTATAGCCATGTTAAAATTTGACCTTGCGAGAATATTTTCAGACCGGAAATGAAGGGGAATTTTACAAGAATTCATCTGATTTTTTAAAAACGTTGTAATGCCTTTATCCCCTCCAGTTACTGTTCACATGCAAGATTAACACTAATACTCTCGCTTACACGGAGATTGAACAACTTTATTTGCTTAATACGATTTTTTTAATAGTTTTACGAAACTATGTTTTCAAGATGGCGACGAGAGGCTGAAAATTGCTCATATTTTACTTAAAATAGCTCAAAAGTGGCACCTATCTGAAGTTCAAATGGCATGTAATTTGAAAGTATACCTACTGAAGTTAAGTAATCAGGAATAAAACTCGTCTGCAAGCAATTTTCTGAAAAGTTATAAATCTCCAAATTGGATCTATTTTTAGCTGTTTGTTTACATTCGCGTGTTCGCCGATCAGCGACACTAGTAATTGAAGAGTTAAAATAAGCTGATTTATTACCCATGAGTAAACTTTTTTAGCTTGTTCAAAAGAATATATACAATTTTGTGAAAATATAATTACAATATATACAAGCGATCTTGTGCAGAACATTCTTGAATTCGAATTGCTTTACATTTATACTTAACTTTACTACGCTTGCACTAATTATACACTTTCAATATACACATACATGCAGTAGTACAGTTACAACGATTCTGCTGGTGTCTACGACCCTGATATATTTTAATGTTATTAAATAATATACTGGTAATATAATAAGAACTTCGTCAATACATTGACACAATACCATAATCTCCTGATTATGACCTTGATCTGCCGCTCCCACGGCGGGAGGTGCATGTCTGAACGACCAATGTGAGTAGAAAACTTACATAAGTGTCTCTGTGCGATGTTTAGGTCATGAAATAGTGCTACAGGGAATATCGGTTTAATGCACTTTGCAGAAACTCCCATGATTTTGATGTCGCTCAATATGATAATCAGAATCCTGTTTAGCCGAAGGGTTGCTATTTTTATGAAAATGCGTGTACTGACCCAAGTCTAGCTCGATTAGACAAATTTGGGTAACGTTTGTTTATACCCAATTCACAACTTTATATAACACACATGCCTATAGTTACTATGGTTCTAGATTACAAAAGCATAAAATAGAACAAAGTTAACTAACTCTTATTGTTATATAGTCTTATAACTCTTATTGTTAGTTAGTGTCAAAGTTCAATTTTTCTATTTGCCGATTAGTCAAAACCGTGTCACGTGCCGGTCCACAAAACCTCATGTTCGGCAACCGGTCCGCAACGAAACATTTATTGACCAGTCAATAATAAAATGGGTGCAATACGCATGCGTGTCAATCGCAAAGTTTCAAAGTTCATTTTTTAAACTTTTTATTTACGGCGTTCCATTTATCCAGTTTTGGTTTCAAATTAAGTTCACTCCAATGAATCGGTGAATGATTCATACTTTAACACTTATATACTATCTATAAGTGGCTCTGGTCCACAAAACACACTGTTTCGATCCCTCGATCTCAGTAAATATAAAGTGATAATGCATAAGTTTAATGTTTAGTTACTTTTGTTCTATTCAGTCTATGCTTCTGTAAACTAGAGCAATAGTAACTAGGCATGTGAGTTATCAAAAGCTGTGAATTGGGTAGCAACGATGTAAACAACGTTACCCAAATTTGCCTACTGGCTTCATTTCTATATAAGTCTA